CTGAACAGGAAGAACTCATCCACTTGCAGGAACAGGTGAAAAAGGGGGCAGTGTCTGTGGATAAAGCCCTCGACAGATTTAAACAGTGGCAGAATGAAAACCAGAGGCTACAGTCTGCTCAACAGGTATGAGTCTGAAATTTGTTTCTTGATGGAAATCTTGATCAATGTTCCAAAAACAATCTCTCCTATTTTGGGTCTTACATGTGATGTCAAAAATAAGAGTCATGGTTTATATGCCCATCAACTCCCAAGGAACTTCCTGCTTATGGTTCTGATTCTTCTAGATACCTGTTTCTGCTGTTGTTTGATTACTTGAGAGGCTTCCTGAATTTATTTTTCCCAACTTCAGGTGCCCTTGCATTTGGTTAAAACTCTGAGTTAAATATGTTGGGTCTTCTAAGACTTTTGTTTTAAACTGTCTTTGTATTCTTAATTAAACCAGAAACCTTCTGTAGTTGAACAAACCAAACATGCCATTGAACAGTGTCACCTAACAGAAGCACAACTATATCAAGCATACATGGCTACTATATATTGACTTCTATCAGGGTTTAGGCCTAACTTAAAGTGTTGAATCTACTTAGTGAAATGTACAGTTGATAGCAGTGCACTTCAGTTCCTTTATATTCAATATATGGAGTAACTTGAGGTGCACAAAAACAGGTTTTCAGAAGCCCACACACTGAGTCACTGAAAGAACTGCAAAGTTAGAAGCTAAGGAGAAAAGTACAGGGAGGAGGTTTGTAAATTACTAACAAGATAGCTGGAGAAGAGATTGTGCCCTCATTTTATATGAGGTTGTGCACTAACAAAAATATTTCTTGTTGTCATTTACATGCATTTAGTAGTAAGAGGAAAGCCAAAGGTAGTCTGCTACTCTGCAGGGAAGGAGAGCTATCAGATGCTGCCAGTAAGGAGAGGTTAAATGCTCTCTGTGTTTGCATTTGCTGAAGAAATAGCATGAGCTTTGTCATCACAGTAGAACACTGAACAGCAAAAGTTCAAGGGCTTAAAACAGTTTAGGAGTCTGGTTTGCAGGCATCCACCACACCCTTCCAAATCTGCCTGTGGCCAAGCATGCATATGGGAACTGCTGGTATTGCTCTGTCAGTCAGGGGAGTTACTTGTGGAGGAAGATGGTATCTACACTATGCAAAGATAGCAGCACTAAGTCATAAGCCTGTGTTTCTAGGAGGATTTACTTGGCCTGCTTTCACTGCTTTAGGGAAAAAGCTACTTTCTAGAGGTTTATATCCTGCATTGCATATGTAATTTTCTTTAGTTTTGTACCATTAAAAAATCTCTGTTACCCCAACATGATGAATTTACTTCATGCTATCACTGCATTTGTTTGGTCTTCACTGAGATTTTTGAGGGAAAAAAATAATATATCCAAAGCAAAAAACAAAGCCCCAGGTATCTGTAATCTAACAACAGAATCAATGCCACTTACTGATGGGAAAAAAACCTGCACGAGATTCTTGGGTACACATGTTAAAAGTAGCATTTACTTGCAACACATCATAGACGTTTTTTCAGTCTTTTCAAATTATTTTCCTGGAGAGAAAAGCTAGGTGTTCAGAATGCTAAAGAATTCAGCTTTTTATAGTTCTTCATTATTTCTACAGAAAACTTCCATTATTGATTTCTGCTGCTGGTTTTATGCTTGTTTTTTGCTTAAAGGAAAAAGTGCACCACCTTAGAGACACCAGTATTGGAAACAGACTGGAAAAGGAAAATCTGAATGGTAAGTTGCACTTGCTCTGCCTTTCAGAACACTGAAGCCTTGAACTGTTAAGCGTACTGCAAAGGTCTCATCCAAAGCATAAGCAGACTTTTGGATCTGGCACTGAATTTGTAATCAGCATTTTCTGTATCTTAGCACATTTCAGTTATTTTAGTGTAATCAGGCCTTCAGCAGAGTCAACATTTCATCCCAAAGAGGAGCTCACTGAGGGTTAATGGGGCAGAAAATTTACCAAGTCTTCATGGCTCGCTTTTCTATAGCACATTTCCTACTGCTTCATCACAATTAGGGTAGGTGATCTCTTGGGAACAATTTACTTGATGAACTCAATATTTTATTTGTAAATCAGCTATCAATTTGCACTTGCAAATTCTTGATGAACTTTCCACTGCTACAGCAGTTTAGTATTGTTAAAAAGCTACACCATTGGTTATATAAGATGCTTTTTTTCCCTGTTGTGACCAAATGTCATCTGCAGCAGTATAAAGCACCTGCAATTCCTGCAGATCATTTTATCTTGTTGTTATGAAAAGTTTGTACTAGGTGGTATTGACTTTAGCCCACTGATTTCTGTAAAACTCAAGACATATATTCATTTTTCAAAAGGAATGTTAGTAATTATTTTCCACGTCAGATGTATCACTATTTAAAATTATAACCTAAATGTGTTATTTCCTTACTGCAAGAGGAAAAAAAAATAATCCACTTTACTTTCAGTATTCTGTTAGTGTGGCATTTATATTGGCTTGTGAGATACTGTAATTAAGGTAAATTCTAGCTGGCCAGAGGCAGGTTTGCAGTCCAGACTACTTATATTTTAGTTTAAGATCCCCTGTGGTTGGTAGGGGTGAAATGTCCTGAGCATGTGAACAGGCTCAGTCCATCAGCCTGCACAAGGCACGTGGAGCCTGAGGGCTTGGGATCACTGCATTTTTTCCTACAGTCTGTTTTCTGTGAGCAAGGGAAAGCTCACGAGGACATGAGGGTGAGTCTTGGAAGGTATTTGTCTGTAGGGTTTTCTTTTATGGCCACATCAATCCTGCCTCTGTAGCATCCCTCCAGAGTTCAGTAGTCCTCAGCACCAGAATTGTAAATTTTGTGAAACAGTAAAGCTTGTGTTATCCAGTAACTCAGATAATGATCATTTGTTCCCTTTGATCCCAACCTCTCTGCCCTCTGCTGTGCAGTCTTATATCCTGTTATGCATATAAATCAATAGCTTTGCACTGGAGAAATACAGTGGGAAGAATCATTATGGAGGCCCCTGTCTTGTCTAACAGTGCACTTTATTATCAAAGACTTGAATTTCTGAAAATAAGATCTTCTAGAAGATGGAACTCCCTCTACAGCTGGAGGCACATTAATGGCAAGAGCACAGAGGGATCTCACAAGACAAATACCTAAGTCCAGACAAAAATAAATTGCCTGAAAAAAACATAACAATTACATTCTTTTTTCTTTCATAGTTCCTAAGGAAAGCAGACCAGAGGGCATTCCTTTTAGAGACTTTTTGCTCAACTTGCCATTTAATAAACTGGTATGTATGAATGTTCTCAGATTTGTTTAATGAATTCTAGTTTTACATGTGCATACAGACTCTCCAGCTGTACCTTTAAAAACATGGGCCTCCTGCTCCAGATGGCACTTTTGAAGTCAGGATTTGAATATTCTCTTTCATAGACCGTTTTTGTAGACTTGATTGAGATCACATAGGAAGCCTGTTAGAAAAGGAATTTTATTTTAATGACAAAAGAAAAAAATCTCCTATCATTTAGTATGGAACATAATTTTTTGTTTCTTGATAAGTTTGTTCATGCTTCCACTGTAATGAAAGTTATTAACGAGAGTGGCTTTCAGTTCAGTCTTCCATTATAACATCTGATGCTATCTCAAAGTTCAGGTCTCATTTTTTAACAGTTTAATATAGGACTCAGAAACATCCCCAAAAAACATCACCCTGCAAAGCAAAAAGGTCTGTCACTCTTGGATTGAAATATCTACAAAGCCCTATCTTAATAACAACCAAATAAGGACTAAGCATGTAGAATGGTCATTTGCAGAAAGTATGAACACAGACAATAATTTAGTTCCTTTCTATATAATATATATAGTCTTACCCATAGACATTGATTTTTTTATTTTTTTTTTCCAAGAAAGGAAAATGTTAGCCAACAAAACAACAACAAAAAATAGCTTTAGTAAAATTTCATGGAAATTAATAAATTATCTGGGGACAAAAGCTTCATTTTCAAATGTGAGTGGCCCAGATTCTTTAAGGTATTTAAGGTTTTCTGTGGCATCTTCCCTGAAACCACTGAAGTACTGAACTGGAAGTAGCCTATGGGAAACTTCATCTTTAAGCTAGGCTCATACACTACGTGGAATGCTGCCTTGCCAACCATGAAATACTACAGAGTAGGAGACAAGGAAGACTGGAGAGAACAACAGAACTGAAGCAGTCGAACTGATGAGGTATGTCTTGGCATTTGAAGACCTCAGCTAGGTCTCCTCTGGGAGACAGACAGGACGGTGCCCATGGGGAGGCACACACACTGCTCTCACAGTAAGAAGCTGTGCTCTCTCACTAAGGTAGATGTGTGCTGCTGCTGGGGGTCCCACAAGGCAGGAGCATGCAAAGATGGTTAATTCCTTGCGTATGCCCTGAGACAAGGCTTGGGGGTTTCTGTGTCCCTGCTAACAGAATGAATGGCAGCAGCTTAGACAACATTTACATGAGGAAGACTAACAAGCTTACTCTAAAGTCTTAAAAGACATCCATACTTCCTAGCACATAGGATTTTTACTAAAAAAAAAATATATATGATGCCTGTCTACATCTCTGAACATTTGACTTACCTATGTGAGTCTGGTTTAGCTGTTTCTGAAAATGAGATTTCAAAATATGCCTTCTATTGCAGTTACATCATGGCACCTTATGTGCCACATCCCACAGATTTAGTCATCCAGCATCTCTAAAAATGAGTGCAAGATTGCAGAAGCTATGTAAGATGGTTTGAATTACTTATAGTTAGTTATCCCCTCACAGCTAACCATAGAATGGTTTCTGTTGGAAGGGACCTTAAAGCTCACCTAGTTCCAACCCCCCTGCATGGGCAGGGACACCTCCCACTAGACTAGTTTGCTGAAAGCCCATCCAACCTGGCCTTGAACACTTCCAGGGAGGAGGCATCTACTGCTTCCCTGGGCAACCTGTGCCAGTGTCTCACCACCTTCATTGTAAATAATTTCCTCCTAATGTCTAACCTAAATGTCCCTTCTTCCAGTTTAAAGCCATTACCCCTTGTCCTATCACTACAAGCCCTTACAAAAAATCCCACCCCACCTTTCCTGTAGGCCCCCTTTAGGTAGTGGAAGGCTGGGACCTTCTCTCCAGGCCAAACAACCCCAACTCTCTCAGCTTGACTTCAGAGGGAGAGGAGCTCCAGCCCTCTCATCATCTTCATGGCCCTCCTCTGGACTCTCCAAGAGCTATATGTCCAATACTACATTAAGCAAATATTAATCTTGACTTTTCTGTTATCATTATCATAATTATTTCAATGTCAGCAACTTGCTTAACAGTTTTAAATTAAGGTAGATCTTGGAAAACATGTCAGCTGCTTATTAGGCCTCCTGTGACAAACATAACTGTGGAAAAAATGAACAATTTAGTCTGCATCTGTTCCAATCCTTGGGATTCCTGGCAATATTGGCAAGGTAGGTGCCCTCCTGTGCAAAGTTCAAATATCTTTTTCCACAGGGAACTCAACTGAAACAATTTATTTCTTAGCTGTTAAAATGAGTTCGTACTTACACTGAAAGTGGCCTTCATATCCAAAGGACAACTTTTCTATCTGTTGCTGTAGACTGTGCAGTAATGACTCATTCCCAAAAGGCACTGTAAGCAGCCAGGTCATCCTCTGCAGTAAAGGCAGCCTCCACAGAACTTTGTCTTCCAAGTGTTGATTTCCAGATTTGTAGATGCCTATGACACTAAAGCAGGTCTGGTTTAATTAAGTTTGCTCAATCAGCTGCCAAAGACCAAATTTCTTCCTCAGCTTTATCCAGAAAAAACACTCAAAAGAGCACTATGCACTTTTCACAAATGGGCAAGTTATTGATTAGGTTTGCTGTCCTAAATGTCTGGCTCTGTTCCTCAACCCTCATCAGCACCATGTTTTAGTCCAAGTTGCTAACAGATTGCTTATTCATCAGTTGATGCCAATCCAGCTTGCAGGTGGTGTCTAAGCAGATTTCCCTGAAAATTAAAAAAAAACCCACCATTTAATTCTGAGTACATAAATCAGTTTCCATTGTCTTCGATGCATCAATATGAAAATAAACTAAGACAGACCCCAATTTTGACATTTGGATCCATGAGAACTCAAACTCCTTTACTCAGTGCAGTTAGCAAAGTTGAAAGAACTCAGGATCCTAAAGCACATACAAGCTTTTGTATGTGTGGTGAGTTAGAAAGTCATAGAAAATACTTTTTTTTTTTTTTCTTCATAACCTCAACAGCATGCACTTCCATCAGGACATTTAGTCTTGAAAACACGTATTTGTTGGTAGTTTACAATAGTGTCCATTGGACTTACAAAGCTACATCTTTAGCCTGGCTTATTTCCAGTTTCTTAAGTATTTTGTAGCTTCACACGATGCTCAGATTTGTAATTAAGAGAATAACAAAAATCAGTTTCCTGCCCATTTGTCACCAAATCAGATCTGCCTGGGGAAAGCCCACAGTCAGACTGTTGACGGAGGGGTTCACTGAGACAACTGCATATCCATACATCCCCTCAGCCTCTCCTAATTGGTACCAAAAAAGACCAGCCATGCAGTTAGAAGTAACATTTGATCAAAATCCACCTCCTGTCATTCTCCCACATAACACCTGCCTGTTTTTGTGGATGTTGCTTGCTCCCCTGCTTCCAGGGACACGTGCTGAATTCACATTTGAAGTAAAGCATACAAAAAGTGACTCATCCTACATATATATTTGGTGAATTATTCAGCTTTGAAAGACATTCTGCACTGGCCTAATTTATCATTGGTACACGTGACTGCTTATTAATTGCATTTATTTTCTTTTAGTCTCCAACTAGGAACCCAACAGACAAAGAACAGATGCCCAATTAACAGAGGTAAGAGCATGTATATGAACACACACAGAGACATTATCTGTCATAGAAACTTAGCACTTGTGGAAGTACTTTCCATCAGAGTGTGTTCGTGTAATGAGAGAATGAAAGTGCATCTCAGAGGTCTGATTTCACAAAATAAATGTAATCATAATACATTCTGGTTTATACTAGAACTTATTTTTTGTCAGGTGTTAAGCTGTTCTTGTAGACAGTCACCCAACTTGTGGATGCAGCTGAAGAATTTTCATGAGTTACTGCAACTAATTCAGCTTATGTAACTAAAAGCTATATAAGCATGTGGTCCTGCATACTGGTCATCCACACAGTATCAAACATATTGAATGTCAAAGCTGAAAGGTATAAATACAAGGATGTGTCCAGAAATGCTGAATAGCCAAGAGACCAATGGCCATTTAAGTGCTGGAAAGCTTACAGATGACAACACTGTCACAACAAACAGCAAGATTTGCTGATTTTGCTGCTCCTGACTGAGTTTCTTGGTTTTGGGCCTCTAATGAGATCTTAAATACTTGGGGTTTTTAATTACTATTTGCTACATGTGTGCTTCCATGTATATCTCATAGCTGCTTTAAGACTGTGTGTCTGCCTTTCTATGAAACTTACCATTTGGGCTTGCTCCTAGTAGAAAAAGGAAATACAGCATTTATTGGTGGTTTCTGGGTTTGGTGGTTGATTCTTGCAGATTTTTTTAGTCAGTTCAGTTTTCATCCTCTATGCTGGTAACAAACTTAGCAGGAACCAAACTTACCTCACTAGCTGAGGTTGTAGACTTCATGTCTACGGTCAAATAATTACCTGGAAATATTCTTCTTTTGCTAATCTCTCTTAAAATGAAGGAGTCATGCAACCTTCCATATGCATGGAAGGGTAACTACCATTAAAAGTTTCAAGCCAAGAACAAGGATGTCTGCATTCTATTAGTGTATGTGCAAATCTGTTTCTTGAGATCTTGAAACCAGTACCTTGGTTTTCTTAAGCCCTGAGTTTCCTCAGATCATCGATCTCACAAGAACAGGTAGTGCTGAACAGCTCCAAAACTCAACATTAGATTTTCTTCTTCAGTTTCCTTTCCTTCAGATGAGTTAAGACCTGAAAGTTTCAAAAAAAATAAAGTTTACTGTTTTAGATATGAGTAGCATTTGTAATTTTGCATTATTAGAGCTATAAGTGGGATTAAATAATTTTTTCACAGTAGCAAAATAATACCATTTAGTCCTAAAGACAAATGTAGTTTTAAAGGCTTTTTAAGCTAAGTTATTTTTATTTCATTTGCCTGTGCAGTGGCTCCAGAGTCTTCCAAGAGTTATCCTGTTGTAGCAGTACTTTTGTGGCACTGAAAATGGTTAATCTTCAGTGAGGTCTTTTCTGTCACCCTTCTCTCATGTAAAGGAGAGAACAGTTGCTCCTTGTGACAACTGTTTCCTTGTCTCATTTCTGGAGCCAGCTGCCCTCCTGCTGGCTAGAGTACACTGCCCACACCATAAAACAACAGGTACCTTCTCTGCTGCTGCTTGTTCTCCACATCACTTGTTCAGGCCCCCATCCTCTAAAGTTCTCATATGACCCAAAAAATTAGTATTACACTGTGACCTGAAAACTTGCTACTCCCCCTTCAAGAGGCAGCTCAACTCCTACAGGGCCTTCCCTAACAGAGCTCGTTCCTAGAGTGGAGCTGAAGTCACTCACCTAGACTTAAGTGGGCTGAAAGGCTATGAATGTTAACATCTCTGCAGCTGGAGAAAACTATTATGAAAAACTTGGTAATAGCCAAGGTGCTTATAAATTGCAGATTACTCAAGCAAGATGAATCCTTCAAGGGGAAGGGGGAATTACCCCTTTCACCAGAATAGGTGATCTCTGTCACTTCTAGAAAATTGTTACGTGGGAGAGAGAGAAAACAAATTAGATGCGGGAGAACTTGTAAAATACAATTTATCCAGCACATTCAATCAATCCTCTTTGTGAATTAACCACCCCAAACCCCAAGGCTCTCCTTGATCTCTCCATAGCTTTCTTGGTCTTTTCTGTCTTCAGATTGGTTCAGAGGCCTTCTAATACCACAGCACTAAGCATACCAGTATTCAAAAATCAAAAAGTTTGTGTAGAGGCACATGTGCAGCAGCTGTTAAGTAGTATAATGGCCCTGGCAATATTAAAAAAAAATATGGGATTGGGGGTGGTGGTTTTGGGATTTTTTGTCTTCTCTCTTTTACACCACTTTCAAGGAGATCATCTAAACAGAAAAATAATTGTTGGAATGTTCATTTACCTGCATGCACTGGAAAAGACGCATTTAAGGTGAAATTCTAAAATTCACTGAGAAACTAACTGCATGTCTGAAATGTATGCTTTCAGTACAAACCCAACACAGTTAAATCTTTGTTGGTTTGCTTGTTGTTGCTTTGGTTTGGGTTTTTTTAAGACTCCATAATTCTGAAAGTGATAAATTACAGTGTACAGAACAATACTGTGTAAACACTTCAGAGGACTGGACTTTTCTTGTAAAAAAACCAAAAACCACAAAAAACAAAGAAACAAAAAACTTTATCTGACAACCACTATTTTTTTACAACTAATTGCAGGGAGATTTTTTTATTATTACCAAAAAAATGCAGATAAAATTTTCAAAACCTGTATTTCTGTAGCAAATATTCTGACTCTCCTCCAGCTCCAGTGCAAAGTTCTTAGCTACATTGCTCATGCCTACCCACAGATCATCACATTTCCCCCATGCTTTGGTTCTCTCATAGTCATTTCAATAATTGCAGAGTTTGATCTTACTCTACACAAACATGGTCCCATCTGATGAATAACAGGAATTTTTTCAGTATTTCTTACAGTGTGATTCCTCAGCCAGCTGTGCCTCAGTTCCTGTTGCTTGGCATCCCACCTCCAAGCTGCACCCTGACAGCCTCTGGCTCCAGCACCTACTGCTGTGACATGGCATTGCAACCATCGACACACTTCCAGTATCTTGGAATCTCTCACCTGGGCTGGCTCTGGAAAAAGACCAGTGTCACTAAAGCACATTAATAAGACTTCTTGTAAAGTCAGCATGGAATTTTACATTTTCTTCTGTGGCATTTTTTTTTTCAATATGACAACTGAGGATTTACATAAAGATAGATTGTGTGCTTTGATTAATTATTTTTAAACTCATTTTAATTTTCCCACAATGCTTGGTAGTTGTTTAAAAGTAGACTTTATGCAGAAAATAAGATCATTAAAAGTTACAAAGATTATGAAGTTATAATACATAAAATTTATTTTTTACTTTTTTCTTAAAGCATTTTTCTATAAATTTTATATTTTATTTTTTTTTCTTTCCTAGGAATAAGAATTGTACTCCATCACTAGTTTAAATCATTGTACTCAAAGTAAAGCTAATTTCTAAAGTCAAATTATATAAATCAGTTCTAATGATCTACTAATACATTAAAGTGATTACAAGAATATGGTTTACAAGGAAATTGTGTTTTGTTTTATAAATTGCCCAAGTGATACCCAGAACAAAACCAAAAGAATCTCCATTGTATTTACACAGCAAAGGTAAAGGAATAAATGTGGTTAACGGGTATGATGGTCTGCATTCCCACAGTGATATACTCCAGAATTTAAGTAAGCATGTGATGATTGAGGAGTATGCAAGACAACTTGTCCTATCTTATATGCAAGAAAGGAGAAAAAAAAAAAAAGTTCTCATATGCAACCTGCAGAGGGGATAAAAGAATATTTTAACTTTCAGATAAGAAGAAGCTTAAATAGATTTACCCCACCCTAGTTATCTGAGTTTCATACAGGCCTTCTTAAAAAGTAGGTAAAGGTGCTGTGAGCCAAAACAGCCTCCAAAGAGATCTTAATCTTTACTAAACTCTCAGTTGTGAGTTACTCACAGTCAGCTTTAGGAACCTGAATTGCTCACACCAAGCCTCCCCTCAGGTTCTCAGCAGTGTTGAAGCTCTGTTCTGCATGTACTAAGAGATGCTTGAACTTACACTTTAGTTAAGAAAAAAAACTGAAAACAACTTAAAAACTCTTTAATTATAAATAAATGTTGCTCCTTAACTACATGTTAATGTGACACCTGACTTTAGAAGACAGGAGTGGATTTTATGTTCAGACTTACAAGCCTCGAGGGTCATATTATTTTCCCAATTTCAACAAATTATTGTTCTAAGAACTGCTACAGATAAAAGTAGGCCAGAAAGACAATGTTGGGATTTTAAAATAATTACAGAATCTTGTAATTTTGTATCCCACATATAGCTTTAGACTAATTAAAATTCCATTTTCAATGGGTTGATTAAACATTTTCAGGAAATTATCAGTTCTCTGGGGATACCTTCCATTTCTGTTTGAAATGCTCCCACAAATTCTGCAGGTATGTTGCTAGGAAGTCATAAATATTCAGTGACTGCTCTGTCAGTGTGACAACAAAGCTTTGCATTCCATGCAAAGGCTTCTCTTTAGCTGTTTGAACCACAGCAGAAGCCTTGAAATGTATGGTCTCCAGAATCTGGAAGTACAGTCAGTGTCTATAAACTGAGGGACATGAGACTGTCTGGCTTCATATGAGAGGAGCTGTGATGTTTTATAGTTCCCTGGCTACATGGAAACAGAGTGGGGAGAATTACTTGAAAATCTACATGTGTAAGCTATTATCTTCCCTGAAGTGGTTCCCCTCTCTTCCCCAAAAAATGATAGTCTTATAAACCCTACCTAGTCAATATATCCCCTGGCAAGCAAGCCTGAAGAGCAGACAGAAATTGAGAAAACAAACCATGAAAAGGGTTTTCTTGTGTCAGTACCTGGCATGTTTTCTGAACTTTGTTGCTTGTTTCTGTAATAGAGGAGATGAAAGGACCATTCTTTGGGGACATCAGTCCTCATAGACCTCCAGGCAGAACCCAGGGCTCCTTGGTACCAGTGAGAGGGCATCTAGAAAATTTAGAGATTTGAGGTCAATGTACAAGA